ATTTAGAATATGATAACCTTTATTTTAATATAGGGAGGTGCTTAAAAATGCTAGTTCTAGCTTCAGATTCTGGCTCTTTTTAATTAACAGTAAGACTTTGATCAAGTTTCTTTGGTGTGGTTTTTTACTTATGTGTAAGTTGTCATAATGGATTGTTCATATGTAAATAACACATGATAAAGCGCTTAGAGCGCAGCTTGGCACATTCTGAAATGGAACTCTGACGTGTACGTGTGTGTATTGTATATATATTATACACATATAAAAAGCAAACTTTTATAGTAATATTTGCTGACTGAACAGCTGGACTGTGACTGGTACATGTACCTAAAGTTAAAGATTGAAATGTTAATGGTGTTTTATTAATATTTCAGTAATCTGATAGAGAAAATTGAAAATCCTCAGAACATTTGTGTCTCCTGTTGCTATCTTTTTTTTTTTTTTAATTCTTTTTTTTTTTTTAAGAGGCATGTATTTTATTCATTTGTTTGTTTGTTTGTTTGTTTATATATGCACTGGGTACAGTCAGAAGCGCGGGAGGGTGAGAGAATTCACCAGAGCCAGAGCAGGGAGCAGAGCAGGCAGAAGGACCGAAGTACACTGCTGAGGGCAGCAGCGGGCGGCAGGAGAGGTCTGCACGCCATGTGGGACCCTCCTCCGGTGGCCTGGGAGCAGCCGGGGAGCAGCCGGGGATTGAACCAGCACCGCAGAGGCCGCGGGCAGCTTCGCAACCCAGATCTCAACAGCTGCGCCACCGGGGAGGCCCTCCTGTTGCTATCTTGCTTGTATTTTAAGGCTCTTTATCAGTTAACCTATTCTTAAATAAGTCAAGTTTTTGGTTTTTTTTTTTTTAAAGATTTATTTATTTTTGCATACAAGAGCTGGGGTGTGGGCCAGAGATGTGGTGGGTGAGAGGATTCACCACAGACAGAGTGGGGAGCAGCACAGGTGGATCTACTGGAATACACTGTTGAGGGGAGCAGTGGGGAGACAGGAGAGGTCTGCTGCGCCATGTGGGTCAGCTCCCTGGCCTGGGCGCTAACTTGTGCTGCATCTTAACCCCTTGTGCCACCAGGGAGGCCCCTTAAATATGTCAGTTTTGTATATAAAAAACAAGCTATGTAATGAGGGATGAGCATCTTTATAAAACAAATTACTTATAAAGGAATTTAAGGTAAAGATATTGTTTCAGTTTGTCGAATGCCATGGAATATTACCACTGAAGCCAAGTGAATTGTTTTGGAAAATCTGATGAAGTGAGGATGAGATTACTAGCAGAAAAATTCACTCCTCGAGATGGAGCTAGTATTTGGATTTTGTTGCTCTTCTCTAAAACATGGGGGTGAGAGAGAATAGTTACTGTACATGCATCAATATTCTTGACAGTTTTGTTCCTTATGTATCATTTAGTTTCCACTTTATTTTATTATTAGTTCCACCTTAATTTTTTTGAGATTAAGTTTATTCTACGGTCCTTTAGCATCTTCTAAAGTGACCAGTGTACTAACTTGTAGTCTTTCCTCTTTCCTCTGACTTAGCTCATATTTGAATTTCTTTGATGCAGAATATCCTTAATGGCTAATCCACCTTGTAATTTGGGGTAGCAAGTACACTGACTTCACAGAGTCTGCATTCTACCTCTCAGTCAGGTGTCCCTGGAGGCCTCCCCAGTCTCCCAGGCCTTCAACTCTTGATTTTCCAAGCCTCCCAGGATCATGAATTTTGCTGGTTGAAGAGTTACAAAGGGACTCTCCTGTCTCATTGACATGAATGACGTACAGGAGAAGTCAGTACAGGAGAAGTCAGTGCGGGAGCTTTTACCTTACGCAAACGTTAATCCTCAGCCATCGTCCTCTCCCCTCTCTTGACGGCCCACGGTGTCTGTCTGGAGAGGTGTTCGTCGAGCCATTTGTCATTTGGTCTGATCTGTAGTGAGTTTGTCTTTAATAATTTAAAAAATTTTTACAAAAATTTGTACACAGGCTATATCATTTAGTATTTATAGCCTTTATCCTAATTAGCATTAATAATTAATAATTAATAGTGTAATACCTCAGATAGCCATGATCATGTTGGTAAGCAGAATCCATGGCCTTTTCATTGGGCTAAAATCTACGTCTTGCTACTGGTAGCTTATGGGAAGACAGAATTATTATGTGCCTGTTGTTTCCTTCACAGAGAGCTAGTGGCATCTGACAAAGAACCATGATACCTGGCTGACACTCCAGGATGAAGTAATGCACAAGTCACTTTATAAAAGCCAGCACTGTAAATCGTACGTAACGGCTATATGCAAACTAGTACTCAAAGTTAATAACTTTAGAAAGCAAAGGTTTACCATTAGCTCCTCTGTGACTGTGTAGTTACTAATACAGTAGCTGTGCAGCAGCTTCCTGATTCCTTGGCAGGCTGGTGTGCCGGTGGGAAGCAGAAGGTACTAGATTTAAAGATAGAGCCTAGTTTTTAATGTGACTAAATGATGTCTTCACCAGAGCTGGCAGCTTTTCGGAGATCTCTGGGATAGCATCTGACTCACTGACTCATTGGGGGAGCTAAGAAAGGGGGAGGCCCTTTATCTTACACTGTAGCACCACAGTGTGAGTACCGCAGAGGAGGTGGTTCCCACAGTCTGAACCCGTGTTGGCATTATTCGAGACTACTCAGAATCCGCTCTTGCTTAATTTAATAACTATTAAAATTGTGTTGGTGGTGTTGAGTAGAGGAAATTCCTACCATCTGAAATTCTTTTTCCATTTTAGAAGTATGGCGGTGTGGAAGCAGTGTTTGTTTTCACAGTTGCCTTTGGTGTTTGGGTGTGGCCTTTAATGACATCTATTGCTGCATTCGAGGCCCATGAACTTTACAGATTTAAGCCACAGTTTTGATAACTTGACACTTTTATAATGTATAAATTTCTGGGGTTTCATCATGTAATAATATTCCTGTAATGTTTAACTTTCCCTAAGTTTCAGATCCCTTTCAGGTTCTGTTTTGTTTTTAAACCCAACCATATCTTAAAGGATTTAACACATTTGAAATGTTTTTCTCTTTACGTCTTTTAATTGTGTTTTGTGTAGTTCATTTTTATTTATTTTTTTAAAGGTTTTATTTATTTTTGTGTAGAACTAGGGTGCAGCCCAGAGGTGGATGGGTGAGAGGATTCACCAGAGAGAGCTGAGAGCAGAGCAGGTGGATGGACTGAAATGCATTGCTGAGGGGAGCAGCAGGGAGACAGGAGAGTCTGCTGCACCCCGCGTGGGTCAGCTCCCTGGCCGGGGATCACACTTCGTAGGCTAAGTGATAGTGCCGAGACGTAACCCCTAGGCCACCGGGGAGGCCCCGTGTAGTCCATTTTTAAAAATTTCTTTTGTATTTATATGTATTTTACATCATTGTTCATTTTTCAACAATCTTTGCTTTTTTCCCTCAGGTGTGGTCCCCATAGAATTTGCACCACCAGTTCCCCTGGGCGCCATTACCGCAGGCCCCCCCCCCCCGCGCCCTCCCTCCCCCATTCTGTCCCTCCCCCTGCCCTGCAGAATGTCTCTGGTTTATCGTTGTCTGTTCATTTTTGTTTTGTTGTGTTTTTTATTATTATTTTTCCCCTGATGCCTTATTCGGTTCCCCTGTATTTCTCCTATAAGTGAAATCATCCGATATTTTTTGTTTTCCTTGTGACTTACTTCATTGAGCATAATTCCTTCTAGCCCCATCCATGTTGTTGTCCATTTTCAATCAGACAAACAACAGTTTGTGAGTTAGAGCTGTGCTTTCTAAACCTTATCTGTAAACAGCCCTTTTACTTCTTCAGGAATGTTTTTGTATGAATTTGAAACAGTCTTACTTTACTCTAGGTTATTCTCCAGGCTTCTCAGTTTTCTATCACAGTTGATATTTTTATTTAACTTTCACTTTGCGTAGATCAGTGTTTCTCAAACTTTGTGCTTAGGCAGAAGAGTAGGAACACCTGAATGAGCATCACTGACATTTACTGAGCACGTCACATGTGACATATATACTCTGCTTTTACACATGTTTATTGGTTTTACTCCCCATACAAACCTGTGCGGTTTAGCTATTAGTATATTAAAATTTCTATGAGATTTTTACTCTATCCTATATTTTAACTAAAAAAGTGTATTTTTTAATTATTGGCAGAAGATAGTGATCATATTTTCATACTTTCTGCTCTCCCAGGCACATCTTGTGCAAATATCTTAGTTTGACAAACATTAGTTCATTGAAGTGCACACTTCTTTGTATGGAATGGGGGACAAAAGACTTACTTAAATACTAATCCAGTTTTAAAAAATAATCTTATATCAGCATTACTGTCAATTGCTCTGTAAGTTTGTGGACTGCTTAGCTCTCATCCTCTTGGGGAGGCGCTGTCTGCAGAGTGCGGGAGTAGTCCTCGGGCTGTGATGCCTGGCTCTCAGTAATGGCATTCTTCTTTCACACCCAGTGTCTTACACAATTTTCTCTTCCTAAACTAATTGCACAGCCTTATTTTCCAAGCTGCTACATACCTACCATTCCTTCCCTGCCCCAGGGAAGCCAGTGACCGTCTCCAGCAGAGCCAAATCCTCCCTTCTGTAGCGCCTTGGTCCCTTACCGCTTAACGCCAGGGAACAGTGGGTGCTTGCGCTCACCTTTCTGTGCTGGCTTGTGAGCCCATTGAGGGCAGGGCCTTATCGTGTGTCTTTTGTATCCCCTCTGCTTAAATGCAGGCTGGGCACCTGGATCATGTCAGGAAGTGCTTGGTGAATGAACGAGTTGGTGTGATCTGACTTTCCCATTGGAAATTGTCACTTGCTCTGGACCAAAGCATTCAGCCAACGGCACCCACCTGCCCCTGTCCCGGCGCATGCCTCAGGACCATGGTTGGGGTGTGGAGTTACTGTAGTCATTAATGATTCAAAAGCATTTCATTGTGAGTTCTTGTCTGTAATGAAATAGCTTTCTGTTTATACCTAATGTTTTGTTTTCTTCCTTTTCAGGAATTGTTGGATAAGTATTTAATAGCCAATGCAACCAATCCAGAGAGTAAGGTCTTCTATCTGAAAATGAAGGGAGATTACTTCCGGTACCTCGCCGAAGTTGCATGTGGTGATGATCGAAAACGTAGGTATATTTGGTTTAAGGGTAAAGCTAAACTATAAAAAAGGAGGGAGGATATAATCTTTCATGCCTTAGGATTTGGTTCACCATCATTTCAGCCCCAAAGATCTTCGCATATATGCTTTGAGTGATTGTGTTATGGCACATGACTTTTTTTGTAATAAATTTATTTCTTGTAACTTTTTTCTGTTTAGATTATGTAAATTTTGTTCAGTTATGAGAACAACCTTTAAAGGATGGTGGATTGCTGGCTAGCTTAACGGATGAAATAGGAAGGTGGAAAATGTAAAACATCAGGAGCCGTATGCTCAGAGCTAGGCTGTTTGTTTGCTGAGCTAACCTGGCTAATCCGTTAAACACCATCTCCTTGAAAAAAGCTGAAGATTCTCCTAATGGGTACATAGCTTCCCCATTCAGATAAAAGTAGGTATACCAAATAATCTTAAAGGTAGCTGAAAAACAAAGAAAATTCCAACTGGGAGAATATCCCAGTTTCAAGATAAAATGTTCAGTGGGGTTGGCTTTCTCAGAGAGCACCTCCATGCAGATCCGTACCACGTCCACTGGGCCAGACAGCAGACGGCTCTATTTCCTTCTGTGTGCCTCAGTCACGTGACCTCTAGTAGTAGTATACTTTGAAACTTAAGATAACTGGGAGTTATGTATCAAATGTAAAAACAGGATGTACTTTTTCTGTTTGATGTATTTATTAACTGCTACCTACCTTAAAGGCTTATGACATTTACTATCACTACATCTAACCAAATTTCTAAGGAAAAGTGAGATGAGAGTATTATTTCTAGTATGTGATTTGTCATTAAAAACAGATATGAGGGAAAAGGTAACTGAATTCTATAACTTGACTGTAAAAGAAAAATATTAAACCTGATGTTATTAGCAGCCCATTTATACTCCTGGAGTATTGACAGTTGAGTAGTAATACAGATGCTGTTAAATTTTTTGTGTTCCTGCTACAAAATTTATCAAGCAAGTTTTAGGTAGATGTATCACTTAATGCCTTATTTTTTTTCCAAAATATGTACGGTTCTTAATTTTGCTCTACCCAAAAAGGATATTTCCCCTGCCCCAAATATTTAGTATGGTTTCCTACCCCCACAGAGTGTTTTTGCTCACTGAAACTGAGAGTTTTACCATTCAAAGATCAGTGTAATTTACAGAAAGATAACTGTTATACCCTGCTGTAACAAAATCTGTGTCATTGATGTATAATTTTTGTTGTCTTAAAGATAAACAGAATTGAACGTGAAAAATACTTACACAGACTCTAACATGTAAACACCAATGAGTCAAAGGGATGTCTTGGGGAAGATGGGATGTTAGCACCAGCATTAATGTGATTTATTCCTTTCTGGCCAATATGTTGGCATTTTTTAGTCCCACACATAGTATGTATATTCAGATGGTCTGGCATTTATGTGTAATCTACTTATAGCTCAGGAACTCACAATTACTCATTGTATTCTTCTGTGTGCACCAAACAACAAGAACTGCTTAGGACGTGAGGGCCACGCCAGCACCTTTCGATTAACAATGTGTTGTTTCAGAGGAAGGAAAATGCACACATTCAGACCATAAAGGGATAACTTAATTTCTGTTAGGTCAGTACTTCTAAAGTAAATAGGTCTGAGTGGGCCACATTCAGGAATCAGAGAAATGTTGACATTTTCATTAGGCCTGGAATCAAATTCTGGTAAGATGGCGGATTTTATTGTACATATTGGCATTTTGATATGGTGCCTTTCATAAAATACCTAGATCTAGAATCAGTATTGTTTCTACAAATAAATCACAAAAATAAAGATTTTGATTCACATCTTTATAAAATGTTTGCATTATTTTGAGAAGGGGTATTCCAGCTATGTTATTTTTGTTGAGATACTATTGCTGTATACGTCAGTCAAATTACCTTTAATTGCTGATTTTCTAAGTAATAAGGCATAACAAAAGAAAATTGTCTCAGCCTTAGAGATAAAATAATCTCATGGTTTTTAAAAATTGAACATAAGCAAAGGACTTTATAGTTTTAAACATGCAGTACAAGATGGTTTTTGTTTACTAAAGTGGTTTTACAAGAAAACTGTAGAGAAAAATCTGATTCTGCTGAGAGCAAGAAGCACATGTTAAAGGAAGGTTGATGTGCTGTGTACTGGAGAGATGTTTTCAGTATTTCTTTGTTTTTCCTTCACAGAAACGATAGATAATTCCCAGGGAGCTTACCAAGAGGCTTTTGATATAAGCAAGAAAGAGATGCAACCCACACATCCCATCCGCCTGGGGCTGGCTCTTAACTTTTCTGTATTTTACTATGAGATCCTTAATAACCCAGAGCTTGCCTGCACACTGGCTAAAACGGTAAGATGTGACTAGAAATACCCTCTTTAGCTAAGGTTACTTGAGATAATAGGTATATTCATTTTTAGGAATTCTACTTGGGTATCTCCTCCTTTTTCTAACCTTCTCAGCCACCCTTCTCAACATCTTCCTCTCTCCCAACTGTGGTTAAACTGCAGTAATACCTGTCTAAAAAGCAGACTGGTCACAATAATAATAATAAAGAAATCATGAAAGAAAGGTAAAGCATTTTAGAAAGTAACACCTGCCATGTTTGGTCACTAGACAATAATTAAGTTCCTCAGTGTGTCTCAAAATGGGAGAGTAGAAGATGGGTTTTTGCAAATATAAGTTCTTTGTTTTAATTCTTTCTTTATTTATTTATACAAGCACTGGGTGCAATCAGAAGTACGGGAGGGTGAGAGAATTCACCAGAGCGGGGAACAGAACAGGCAGACAGACGAAGAAATACACTGCTGAGGGGAGCAGCAGGCGCGGCAGGAGAGGTCTGCATGCCATGTGGGACCCTCACCGGTGGCCGGGGATCGAACTGGCGCTGCAGAGGCTGCGCACAGCTTCGCAGCCCAGCGCTCAACCGCTGCGCCACTGGGGAGGCCCACAAATAAAAGTTCTTAATGATTGGTGGTATATTGGGTCATCACTGCTGTGCTGTGTCCTGTGATAGAGCTAGGAAGTGCTTGTTTGCTGAGGGAGGTGTGGGTAATTTTGTTTCAGGTCATGCGTGTTAAGTTCTTACCCTGAGGAAATGATTCCATTGAGTTTTGTTTTTAATTGATAATAAAACACAAAGTGGATGTTAAATCATTTTATTAAAAAATGACTTGTAGTTATAGACTGACCAGGTTGTGCCAAGGTAAATGTTGTTCACTGCAGCTGTTAATGTTTATCAGGCTTTCGATGAGGCCATTGCAGAACTTGATACACTGAATGAAGATTCGTACAAAGACAGCACCCTCATCATGCAGTTGCTTAGAGACAACCTAACAGTGAGTTTTCTTTCTTTTGTTTCCTTTTCAGGAGCAAAAGTACTTAAAGTTTATTTTGGGGGCAGTTATATGGAGCTCTTACATATATATGCATGAATTGAATATTGATCACTTGTTAGTATTTTGGGTAGGATAGCCATTCTTTTGTGGACAGGCTCTCAAGTTGAGTGGACGTGTTATCACACCTTCCCCAGAAGCTGCCTAGATTGCAGGGGCTGATAATATTAACACAACTGTTTCATTGGAGCAAAGGTACAGAGAATTGTATTTACATAGCGCGTATGGGGTTACAGTAACCTCTTCCTTTGCTCCAGCAAGTTAGGAAGTTACAGCAGTATGAAGTCCTTGTTTCAATAACATCATTTTGTGAACTGTGTCTGATGCTTCCTAGTCATTAGACTGCCTCTCTTTCCACCCCTGCTCATAGGCTAAAACCTGTTTTGCTTATTTGCCTTTTAATAATTTGTGTTTCTCTCCCTACTTCTTGGATAGTAATGGAGGAAAAATACACATTGAGCTTTACTTACCTTTTGTAGATGCAAGTGCATTTGATATGTGAAAATTTAGAAATGATGTGAAAGAAGGGAACCCCCCACACACACACACCCCTCGCGGTGGTGTTTTATCTTTTGCTAGGTAGCGCTTTGTGGCGCTTATGTTTTGTTTTTTTAGCACCACTCCTGTTCAGCGTTCCTGAACATGGAAGTTGTGAAGGCGCTTCACCCCCACCATAGTGCCTCTGTTGCCGTGCCGGACACTGGCCCGGGCTGCATGGCCAGCTCTGGAGGGGGCAGGCTGGGCTGTGCTGTTTCTTCCCGGATGTGCCGAGGAGACGCCATCTCTTACATGGTGGCGTTTCTTTCTTGAAGTGAGAGCTCTTCAGAGAGATTTGTTTGTTTTTAGTATCTTACTCATTTAAAGGTGATGAAAGATTTGAGCTTTTCCTAAAATTGCCACTAGTGTCTCGGTGTTGGTCTAATAGAAACCCATTCTGAGAGCTGTTGATTATAGTTAATAAGATTTGACTTCCCTTCTTCATTCCATACTAAAATTAGAGAGATTCTTGGAGATCAGTTTTATTTGTCTTAACATCCTAATTCAAGACCCCTCCATGTATCTGCATGCAGCTGCCCTGTACTGCCCTCCATCCTCTACCATCTAACTCTTGGCAGCAACTCAGAGTGAGCCTGCTTCTTTTAGATGATGGCACTTTGCATAATGGAACACAGTTAGGTGCCCCATCGTGCTTCCCCACACACACACACTTAATAATTTGTTGCCTTATTAATTTCATAAATTATATTTTAATAGTGCTTTCAAGAAGACCATTGGACTATGTGAATGGAGCAAGCATTAGCATTAAGGGTGTTAACTTTTTTCCCTTGAAATTTTTGTATTTTAAGATACAGGGCAAGATTTAAAGGTTGTATTCAAAGAGCGTACGTGTCTGTGTCTTTGTAAATGTACTGGGTAAGATCTACACAGATACTCTGGGAGGAGCTGCTAGTACTTGGGGTCTTGAGAAACGTAATTCCTAGTCTTCATCGTAATCTTGTTTGAATAATTTATTTCTCTTAGAATTCATGTTGTTATCACAGTAGGGCTTGATACAGTTACCTAATCAAGAAATAGTGACTTACTATGGTTCCCTTTTTTTCCCTAGTTATGGACATCAGACAGTGCAGGAGAAGAATGTGATGCGGCAGAAGGGGCAGAAAACTAAGTGCATACAGGGTGTCATCCTTCTTCCCCTCAAGAGAAACCTTTTTACACATCTCCATTCCTTATTTCATTTGGATTTCCTATAGCAAAGAAACCCATTCATGTGTATGGAATCAACTGTTTATAGTCTTTTCACACTGCAGCTTTGGGAAAACTCCATTCCTTGATTTGTGTTTGTCCTGGCCTTCCTGGTGTGCAGTTACTGCTGTAGAAAAGTATTAATAGCTTCATTTCATAGAAACATAAGTAACTTCCAGACACTTATGTAGAGGACTAAAAGTGCACCTGGTATTTAAGTAATCTGAACCAGTTCTGCAAGTGACTGTGTTTTGTATTACTGTGAAGACATGAAGATGTAGCTCATTACATTAAAGCGTGTTCTGCGTCACTTCCTCATTTCTGCATTCCCTCTCTCTCTCTCTTCTTTGGGTTTCCTTTCAGCAGGCAACTTCTCCATGCCCTTCATGTATTCCTTGTTCATAGGAATCCAGAAGTATCAGATTGAATGGGAAAGCATTGACATTTCTGGGCCAGGGGTCACAATTTCAAGTGCCTCCTGTGTCCTGTGTGATGGAGGCTTGTGTGTCTGTGACAACAGGGAGTTTCCTTATTCACTCTTCATTGCTGCTGTTGAAGTTGACAACTTCCCTTCCCAATAAAAATTCACTTACACCTCCTGCCTTTGTAGTTCTGGTATTCACTTTACTGTGTAACAGAAGTAGCATGTTGTTGCCAAAATACAAGCATTGCTTTTGGCAAAATAAAGTGCATGTCATTTCTTAATACACTCGAAAGGGAAAATAAAGTACACAGTCCAAGTCTAAAACTTTAGTACTTTTCCATGCAGATTTGTGCACGTGTGAGAGGGTGTCCAGTTTGTCTCGTGATTGTTACTTAGAGAGTTGGACCACTACTGTGTGATGCTCATCATTGACTGTAGTCCCAAAAAGCCTTGTGAAAGTGTTATGCCCTGTGTAACAGCAGAGTAACATAAAATAAAATTACGTTTTATAAACCATGTACTATGGCTTTGTAACAATTGCATACTCTCTGCCTTGTGATAGAATGTATAGGGAGATCCGAAGTGTCTAAGACTGAGCAAAATTTTCCCGAGTTCTGGCTTACCATTGGTGGAATATGTGGGCCATCTCGTCCTCAGATGTGATACCCAGTTATGTGTTCCATGGAATCGAGTGGATATTTTAAGATCAGAAAAGTCGACTGATCGTGAGTGCTGTGGCTGGTATTGGAGTTGAAGTTACGCTTCCGTGATAGCCACGCCGCGTCAGAGCCCAAGAGGACCTCACGTGCTTCGTTTTCAGATTTTCTTTGTAAACATTCAGTGGTATCATTAGTGAGTTCCAAATTTTGGTTTTCTATCACAGTGTGTAACCTGTCTTTATTAACCTGGGAATTTAAAGTTAGAAGATAATCTGAGAAATTAAAGCTATTTAGGATTGTCTTTATCTCCTCAAATGTGCTTTTGATTTGTTTTCTCAGGGGCAGTGAAAGAATTGAATGGTACTTGGGAAAATGCCTGTTTAAGTAAGATTAATGGGATTTTGTTTCTCAGCAATCTAAATCGGTAAGACATAGCATTTTAAATAATTTTTATAAACATGGGAAGAATGTTGTGCATTGGGGGAAAAAAATTACCATGTCTTAATAAAGTAGTATGTGCTGAATAAAGCTGTCATCCCAAGTTACCAACGCAGCCCTCTGCCGATTGTTCCCAGCGTTAGTCCCAGATTTTACTGGCCTTGCTTCAGGGGACTCGGGCATTTTTAAAAGGGGCCCAGCCTGTGGCATCTCCTTTGGCCCTCAGATTTGGCGGCCTCCTTGCTTATACCAGGTGGACACAGTGCCGAGAATAAGGACAAGCCTTCCTCAAAGGAAAGGGAGAGTCGAGAGCCATGTCTGCACTTTTAATTTTTAAAATTAGAGGTAGTTCAGAATTGTCTAATGTTAAACCGATTTTATAGTTAGAACTTACTTGGCAGTTTTTCTTTAAAATGTCATTTAGGTTTTATAATTTAAAATAACTTGTGAGGGGCCTCTCTGGTGGCGCAAGGGGGTGAGCATCAGCGCTATGAAGCTGTCTGTGGCCACTGCAGCAGGAGTTCGATACCTGGCCAGGGAGCTACCCAGATGTTGCAGCAGACCTCTCCTGTCTCCCCGCTGCTCCCCTCAGCAGTGGATTTCAGTGGATCCGCCTGTTCTGCTCCTCACTCTGTCTCTGGTGAATCCTCGTATCTCTGGCCTCATATCTCTTGTATGCATAAATAAATCAATCTTTAAAAAAATCAATCTAAACAAAATATTTTGGGAGGGGTTGTATTCAAACACTATCGAAAGTAGAAGCATTAGGAATTGCCCTCCCAGGATACAGTACATTCAAGCAGCAATGGCTGATTTTACAAGACCAGGACTTTTTTTTTCTTGGTGGTAGAATAGATTCATGCCTGTTCCTTAAATGTGTATCAGTCGACTTGCACTTAACAGTTTTTGAAATTGGGGAAAACACTAAGAAGACTATTGAAAGAGGTGCACCAATTCTTGTAGAAAAGTAAAATAACTTGAAATGATGAGTTCTAGTCACTTATTTTTTTTTTTTTAAATTTTTTTTAAAAGATTTATTTATTTATTTATACAAGCACTGGGTATAGTCAAAAGCATGGGAGGGTGAGAGAATTCACCAGAGTCAGAGCAGGATGCAGAACAGGCAGAAGGACCGAAGTACACTGCTGAGGGGAGCAGCGGGTGGCAGGAGAGGTCTAGTGCACCATGTGGGACCCTCCTCCGGTGGCCGGGGAGCAGCCGGGGATCGAACCGGCACTGCAGAGTCTGCGGGCAGCATCGCAACCCAGCGCTCAACCGCTGCGCCACCGGGGAGGCCCTCTAGTCACTTATTTTTAAATGGACTTTTTAATAAGTCAAGCCAATCAGTGAAATACATTTGAGGCAAGGACGTGTGACTGTGTACACCAACTTAATTCTAAGTGATTTATAGGTGTCCGTTTACTAATAAAACTACAAAAGCTCAGAATTCTTTTTAATTTCGGAAGACTATTTGAAGCTGATCGGGGCAGTTATGGTGTATGTTTCACTCTGTCACATCTACATCTTTCTTGCTGCATTTCGTACTTGATCAGCTTTGTGAAAGAGTTACATATAGGTATATGGTATATATTAGTATTGAATTTTGTGCAAATCTAAGTGCCAGTATAAACTGCTTTCCGCAGTGAGCAGTCTCTAAGGAAGCTGGAGTGGCCACCTGTGAAGATCATCTTTGGAAAGGCAGCTTGGGGCACGTCTCACTTACAAATGGCTACCCTTTCCGGGCTGGTCATTGGAGGGGCGATAAGTGATAGTGACTACCTGGGGCGGGGTGGAGGTGGGGGCTGCTGGAGCCCTCCCGGTCTTCAGCTCCCATGACCTGCCTTGAGCGTGTCCACAGACAATGCAAGCCCTTTGGGGTGGGCCGCCAGCGTTGGTTGTGCACTATACACAGTTGCCCCCCACTCTATTTCCCCTTGATTGAAGAGGACAGGAGATCAGGGGAAACAATTACTGTCCAAAGTTATGTGCCCATTAAGTGACAGGCTGGATATGACACTCCAAGGCCATACCGGGTTGATTGCTAAGCCGCTGTTGCCTGCTGTGGGTGTTCAGCTTGATATGGTGGCAAATAAATGGGGTTGTTATCTTTTTCCACTACCTTTCAGAGGTTTGTGTGTTTATATTCCTCTTCTCAACTTCCTCCTATTCCCCTTCATCTGCCAGCCTTGTCTTGAGGAAATCTCAAAAATATTAGGACATGTTAGAAGTAACTTTGTATGAAAAAAAGTTCAAGAAGATCAGCTAACTCCCAGCAACTAGCTGAGGTTCGGCCTGAAACTAGACCCTCCTACTCCCAAAGCCCCCTCAACCCAAAACTCAGATGCAAATAATTCCAAATTCTCAATTCTCCACTGGCTAAATTGAAAGAAATTTTCAGTGAAAATGACTTTTTTTTTTAAGGTGTGAGCTTTCTAATAAACTTGAGAGAGTAAGGAAGCAAGCATTTCTTGCCAAGTATTTTGGCGAGGTTATGATCCACGTTTGTTTGGCTTCACACTGCATGGCGGGCGGCCCTCGTGTAGTCCGTGCTAGCGGAGTGTTCTCAGGGCTAAGGCCTGGTGGGAAATCTGTCGTCGGGGTTTGGCCTGAGCGTCCCTCTGACTAGTGGCGGCATGTGATCCTGGACTGGCACAGGGAGGGCTTGATCTTCCCACCTTCACGAGTACAGTACAGCTCAGTTTTGTTAAGATTTGCAAAGTAGGGTTTTCCCTGGTTCATGGATGAGGTAACAGGCACAGAAGCTGAAGTCATGTCCTAGAATTGGGTCTTAAGCTCAGGAAGTCGTGGTGCCAGGATTTGAGTCTGGGTGGCTAAAGTCAGTTCTCTTAGCTACTGAGCAAAGTAGCCCTTTGTGCAGGATTAAAGGGGTAGCAGAGAAGTACTTTTTAAGTTCAGGCCATGACCCATGGTGGATAGTGGATACATCATGAATCAGAGCCAGCCTTTGTTACTGTTTTTTTTTTTTAATAAAACTGTGGACTGTTGACATACGGCATGTTGACAGGGATAATATTTTGTGAAATCAGTTTCAGTGGGTGGTGAAGTCAAATTTATTTCAAGTGAGTTTGAAAGCTCTTCCTAGATGGTCTTGAAGGTTTCTTTGCAATGCACGTCCTTGGACAGTAGGTGGTTCGTAACTGTCATGAAGAAGATCCGTTTTAATGTTGGCATCACTGGGTCCCTTTCCCTTACAGCATCGCTACAGCGGCCGCATTTCCTACCTCGGATGTGCTGGACAGCAAGTGCCATGACACCCTTTAGAACGAAGGGGAGACAGCCTTTATGAGAGTGATGCTCACATTCCACGTTGTTTGAGGGACTGGGTGAAGATCAGTTCTGTCATCTTTGTCCTCAGATGCTAGTTCTGCCACATGTCACAGGCTGAGGCCACTAAGGATGCACTTAAACCCAGAAGCTCGGCAGAGTTAGATGTTCTGGCCTAGCGAGGAGGCTTAACGGGCTTTCACGGGATGGGAATCTCTTAAGTGGACTTGAAACTGGCTTGAGCCACGAGTGAAATCAGCACAATGGGCCTCACGACGGTGCCTGAATTCGTTTGTCTGAGCTGGGAGATGCTCTTTCAGGAATATCTGGGGTTCTTAGTCAAATGCCATTCAAAGGGCTAACTGAATTGAACAAAGACTCAGGAGTTGCTAACTTGCTAACCAGTCAAGTTCTGTCCTGCAGGCGCGCTTGCTGGGGATGTGAGCTGGGCTGGGCTGGGCCACCGCTCCCTCCCCACTCAGGTGTGGGATGTGCGTGCTGTGCCCTAAAGGCCCAGGTATGGTTATAGCAGTAGACCTCTGTCATCATATGCAGAAATCCTTTTTTTTTTTTTTTCCTGTGACAGCCTCCGTGGCATTGTAAACCTGAAAAGGTTTGTTCAAGGCCCCCTGCATTCAACTCCGAGTGCAGCCGTCTTTCCTCTGCAGGTGTGTAAGGGAGCTGCTAATCCACCCACTAAGGCTTGGGTTAGCCTCAGGTTGCTGAGGCACCTGGACATGTATCCTGGTTTTTTTTTTTTCTTTAAACATTTATTTATGCATACAAGAGCTGGGGTGCAGGCCAGAGATGATGGGGGTGAGAGGATTCACCAGAGACAGAGTGGGGAGCAGAACAGGCAGACTGACGAAATACGCTACTGAGGGGAGCAGCAGGGAGACAGGAGAGGTCTGCTGCGCCATGTGGCTTGCTCCCTGGCCAGGGATCGAACTCGTGCTGCAGAGGCTGTGGACAGCTTCATTGTGCGGTGCTTAACCCCTTGCACCACCGGGGGTGCCCTATCCTGGTTGTTGACGTAGGTTGCAGACATCCCTGCCACCCACCCAATTGGTGAACTCCACCCTACACCATCCGCTTGAATAACTCGGGGCCCTAAGGGAGATCAAACCACTTGTT